TGTTTTGGCATTTTGGCCACTTGAGGCCGTTTTGGCATTTTGTCCACCGGTGACCGTCGTGGCATTTTGGCTACTAGTGCCGTTTTGGCTTTTGGGCCACTAGTGGCCACTAGAGCTTGCGTTGAAATTCATGCAAATATTTTTTTCTAAAGTCCATAATCGGGCACTAGTGGTCAAACTCAAAAATCGGCCACCATTTGGCACTTTTTGGCCACTAGTGTTTGTTTTCGGATTTTTGCCACTAGTGGCCGTTTGGCATTTTGACCACTAGTGGCCGTTTTGACATTTTGGCCACTGGTGGCCGTTTTGGGATCTTGGCCACTAATGGCCTTTTTGGTACTTTGGCCACAAGTGGTCGTTTTTGCTTTTTGGCCACAAATGGCCACCAGAGCGTGCGCTGGATATTGTGCAAATATTTTGTCTCTGAAATCCAATATCGGCTACTAGTGGTGACAATCAAAAATCGGCCGCTATCGGCCACTGTTGGTCAAAATCCAAAATTGGCCACTGGTGGCCAAAATCCAAAATTGGCCACTATTTTCTCTAATAGAAAATCGGCCACTAGTGGCCAAAATCCAAAATCGGCCACAAGTAGCCAAAATCAAAAATTGGCCACTGGTGGCCGAAATCGGAAATAGGCCACTAGTAACAGCCTTCCTGGTTTAACAAGCGTTCCACAGTCCGAGTTCATTTTCTTAATTTTTTTCACATATTTTTATAATTTATTTGGCTCATAAGTTTTTTCTTTGCTTGCATGCTCATAGAAAATGAGTCTTGAAGACTTGAAACAATGGGCCAGCGGTTTCATGGCTCCGTACCATATTCCCTCGGTTTTGATGGTGGTGGACGAGTTGCCACGGAACAGTATGGGAAAAGTGAATAAGAAAGAATTAAGAAGAGACTACTTCGCTAAGGAATGATATAAGACGTATATGGAGCTCAATTCTAGTTGAGCTTTAAGTACAAGACTATTTGAGACAATGTGAAACTGAAGTTCACAATATTTAACAATTATTCGCCAAAGGCGAGGTGAATAAGTCGAGGGGATTATTCGACAATGTTCACCGAACCTGAGGCGAATAATTGTTTTAGTATAATTTCAGAGCTGAACAACAGAGAAATTTCTAAAATCATAACATTTTAGTAACATTTATTGACATTTTGTTTTAACATTTTATATAAACCGCGTAGAGCGGTTTATAAAGCGTCATATAAGGAACCGCTCGACCAATCAGATTGCTAGAAGCTCTTTGCTCGGCTCTGAAATTATACTAAACAGTGATTGTTTGATCTTGAACTCTGGAGTAAGAATCGATCGTGAGAGTAGACCTGGGAATGACTGTTGCCGGCGATCCTTACTGCTGACCTTTTGTTAACCTGAATGGAAGTTGAGGTCAGCTTAAAGTCAAGGAGAGTAAGGAATTGTTTCTTGCTCCTGGAGATACATAAAAATTTTGGAACTCAGGCCGAGAGATTCATTACTGTGAAAATTTTTACATGCGGTGATCTATCTCAACGCAAAGTTGAAATTATGTATTTAGCGTCATCAATTTCTCAAAGATGCTAGTGGTCTCTCAATCTGTGTCACACTGGCTGCTGTTTTGAAAAACCTGAGCGGAAGTCATTTTCAGAGTAGATCAGCGATGGCGGATCCAGACCTTGAGCTAAAGGGGGGTGGGGGGGGGGCGTTTTTGTTTGTGTGTGTTCACCTGCCGGTTTTTCTTCCCTGTTCTTCCCCTTATTTTAAACCAAAATAAGGGGAGGGGGCGAGGCCCCCGTGCCCCTCCCCTTGATCCGCCACTGACCAATGTCAGTCTCTGAACGACTGCAAACCCACCCCTCCCCTAACCCAACAACAGTCAACTGATAACAAGGTAGGGTTAATGTTGGAGAGGGGCGGGTGCCCGAACATCAACGTCAAGCTGAAGACTTGTTTGTCATTCCATGGTGATCTGGGTTAATTTTGGCGTGCTCGTGGAGTAACAATTGCCAAGAAAGATTGTCCAAGGTTCTAAGAAAATAATGATCCAACAAGCTCTCAAATAGCTGACAAATATCTTTAACAAGCTTTCTTATTAAAGTAAATAGCGACTAGATTTTTTCCTGAAAGTGCTTTTAAATCATTTTTGTCTATCAAAGATGTAAATGTTTACAATATTGAAAATCACGCCACATTAATTACACCACTACGTTAGAAATTGATTAAAGGAAGAGCGAATAAGAAAAAATATGAGGCTAGAAACGGGTGGCAAGTCCTAAACAGAAAGACTTTCGGGGACAAAAGCGCAAAACATTTTCCATATGGATGGGAATTTTAAAAGAATATTGGCTTTAAAAGCTTCTCTTCTCACAAGGGATCCACAGTTTTCTGTTGATGTTTTTCATTGGTAAGATTGTTCGTCGGTGACCCATTTGCAACTGTTTCAAAGAAAGAAAAAGGATCGTGCGATTTCAAATAAAATATAGATAAGGGAACGGGATGACTTAGGAAGAGCCAGCACGGGGCTGTCACACAACAGGTCTGGATTGTTAGAGAACGAATATCGATTGCGTTTTGTAAAACCAAATTCAAAGAACTCACAGCTACCCGATGAGAAATCGAGGAACAAACGAACGACCCAACGAACTGTTATTAAACAAATATTCGATTTATTTATTAGAAATGTTTTTTGTCGATTCGTCGAACGACCCGATGAAGCGCTCTTTTAGAGAATGCTTGCTTGTTCTGTGACGAATAGCAAGGTAAACAAATAAAATTGGCCACCATAAAGCGTTTACAGAACTGACGTTTCGAGTATTAGCCCTTCAACAGAGCAAAGGGCTAATGCGACGCTCGAACTTCAGTCAGAGAATCTTTTTATGGTAGCTAATTTACAAAATCAATTCATTTGATAAAATAAATTGTCTTGTAATACCCCCACCGTCGCTCCACCCCACATTCTTTAGAAACGTTTCCCCTTTCAGCAAAGTAGTTGTTTTTCTGTTTTTTTGGCGTATGTGTCGAGGGTTGAATAAAAATTTAATTAGTAGTTAACTTCTATTGTATTGCCTGAGGGCACCTTTAGTCATTAGAAACCCCCAGGTTCCTAAATTTCCTTTGAAATCTTTCTGCCTTTTAATGACAAAGGCGAAGTATTTTCTAAGCCATTCCAATTGTTTGACCAATCTTACCTAAGACCCTACCGTGGCAAATTTTTTATTGAACATAATTTAGGTACCCGTAAAGACATGTTTGTAAAATTAGAAGTCAGAACGAATTTATAAAAATTTTGCAAGACATAAATACTTAAACAAGAGCAGAACCGAAACCTAAAGCCCTGTACTCGTTATATCAGTTGGTGATTTTAGTGACAGTAAACCTGTCATTGAATCAACTACCATGACGGAAAAAAATCGGACTGAGTGAAAATTGTGTCGATATTGTTATCTTCTACACGAGCGGGAACTAAAAAACGGCTTCAGGTTGATCGCTCTTCTACGTCATGTTTTCAAGAGTTTAAGAGGATAAAAGCTGATTTTCCCGTGTTCGTAGAGATGTTCTTAAGATTTCTTCTTGTGACCAGCATCCTATCTTTTTAAATGGTTGCTCGTGGAAATTGTCGCTCCAACACGATGAACAGAAAGATCCTTGGCAACAAAGACGCTATGTGTAACGATGGAACAAGAGCAGTCTATTACTTGGACGTTCAGAAGCCTTCAAAGTGGATTATATTTTTGGAGAGCGGAGCGTATTGTCTCACCAAGGCTCAGTGCCTTGCAAGATTTGGGAGCAAGTTAACAAACGCTCTAATGACCTCCAAGTACATGCCAAGGAAAATTAGCGGGCGAGATTTACTTTCGACGTCTTGGAATGAGAATAAGTTATTCTACGATCATTCTCGTGTTTTGATGCCGTACTGTAGCAGCGACGCATGGCTGGGAGCGCAAAAGGGAACATCAATCCTTGAACGTAATAACACTGGGGAACAGTTTGTCTTCAGCGGTAAAATCATTTTTCAAAGCGCCATTTATGAGCTGTTCGACCAAGGGTTTAGCCGGGCGCGTGAAGTTGTTTTAGTTGGGAGTAGCGCAGGAGGAGTGGGTACTATGAACCACGTCCAGTGGTTACAGGACCTTATGTCATCCAGGAATTTACAAGTTAGCATTTCAGTGATCATTGACGGGGGCTGGTTTTTAAATTTCCAAGAAAGCATTACATCAAAGGTTGTGAAAGAATTCTACATTATTGGCGAGCCATTATCGGGCGCATGCGCAGATTCCACGTATGGGTATCCGTGCTGCTTGTCAGCGTTGTGTATGCTTACACGAGGATACTACCCTTCAACCCTGCCAACGCTATTTGTGTTCAGCATGTATGATATTTATATCATTGGAGACGTTGTTGCCCGTATGTCGAAAAGAGTTTCCGTGGCAGAGAACGGTGTGACAAATCTGTTAACTCTGATTGAGTCATACGGAGGTGCCATGAACCAATCTTTGTTTGTATTTGAACCCGGATCTTCAAACCTTAGTTATTTTGTGCCCGCGTGTTTTCAGCACACTTTCTTGGCCATGTCAAGCTTGAGAGACGAAGGTGAAGCGCTTGACTACAGTAGATTGTTCACACACGGAAATGCTCTTTTTCGGTGAGTTGTCAGCATTATTCTTTCACTCTCTGTTATTCTCGCGTTCATTCATGCATTATATATTTCTTTCTTTTTTGGACTCACTATACTTCATGCAGTTGTTTCTGTTTCCGTTTCTTGTTCGGATTTTGCTCGTTTTTTTGCTGTTCTTTGTTTCCTCCGTTCTTTTATCGGTTCTTTTGTTCAAGGTCTTTTTTCTTGTTCGTTCTTTTGTCAGTTCGTTTGTTTGTTCCTTTGTTCGTTCGTTTATTCGGTTGTTCGTTCATTGTTCGTTTGTTCGTTCGCTCCTTTGTCCGTTTGTTCATTTGTTCGTTCGTTCGTTCGTTTGTTTCTTTGCTCTTTCGTTCGTTCGTTTGAGTCTTATAGAGACTTTGGGTTTTGATCACAATTGAGAGTAATAAAGGTGAATATGTGCATTGCCCGCAATAATTTTTTAACTCCACTTCCGGACCAATTTCCTCAGTCTGTCTAAAGTTCCCGGAAGTTGGTTGCGTACAGCAATAAGACGTGGAAAAGAAACCATTAGTTTACAATCCACTCTTCTAAAATGGTTTAAGAGACGTCATCAACCTGTCAGAGTGACTGACACCTGCCTTGGGCCAATGTGCAATCCCACGTGCTCCGAATCACTTACATTTGTGGACACTGCCGAGGACTGGGGAGAGGTGCTTAATGGGGTTGTCCTATTCTTGTCTCTGGTACTCACTGGTGTATGTGTCGCAGTAAAGATCTGTTTTATGGTCCAATTACTTCTCCTAGAACAAAATCAAAGGCGATATTTTGAAGAGCATAAGGAAACGCAGCAGGTAAAATTATATAAGTTGAAATTTCATGTTCCTTTCAGGGATCTACGCTAAGTGACTGTGACTAAGATAAGAATTGATTTAAGGCAGGCAATGGGAATACATTCGGGCTTTTTCTTGGTAATTTAGATGTGAACGCCCAAAAGCTCAAAATTCTACCGACCTAATTTCCAATTTTGGATGGTACGGTGAAACGTTGCTCGATTCCTTCCGCTTTTAAACGCATTCGTCTGATTTTGGATAGTTCCATCCGATTTCGAACGCATCCGTTTGATTTCAGTCGGTTTTGTTCCATATCGGGAAGGTCTACCTTATATTGGTCCGGTTGCGCTCGATTTGGAAAAGTTTCGGTGAGCTGTATTTGATTTCAGACTCGTTATTTTATATGTCGGAGGATTTGGTTCGATTTTGAGCGGTCCTGATTAATTTTGGACAAATTCTCCCCTTATTTGATGGGTCCGCCCAATTGCGGCCAGTTGAGTCCAAGTTCAAACGGATCCGTCTGACTTCGGGTGTTCGGGTGTTCGGGTGTTCGACTTCTGTTCGATTTCAGACCCATTTGTCTCATTGCGGACGGTTCAGTCTGCTTGTGGTTAGATTCCGTTTGATTTGGATAGTTTCTCCGAGTTCCTCTCTATTCTTCTATTCTGAACAGGTCCAACTCATTTCAAGAGACACTTTCTGACTAATAAACTTCCCTGATCTGCAGTCATATAGGTGACTTGTTCCCATGCATACATGCAAAAAAAGTCCCACTGCTATATGGTATTTCTAACCTAGTGAACATGGTACGCATCCTCTGATTGGTCAATTCAGTTTCCAAGGGGATTATTTATCAGGTTATAGAGCCCGCGTGCAACTCATAAAGCAATGGAACGCATTTTTCCGGGCTCTATAACGTGATATAGCCACTCGGGATGTCGAGGAAAACACGAGCAAAGCTGATAAATCCCGAGCCGAAGGCGAATGCTTATAAGCTTTCCGAATTCCCTCCCAACATCCCAGGTGGTTTTACCACGTCATAGAACCCGGGAAAATGTGTTCTTTTGCTTAAAGGTGGTCGCTTTAATCAAGTCTCCATGTTGGCTCTTTTTTTTCTTATTAATTTTTTAAGGTGTTCAGTCATGCCCCTGGTGAGGCAATAACCCTTTTACGATACTCGTCCTCAGAAGTTTCTAATCATTCTACAAATGGCGAAAATCTGCAACCAGTTGTCCACGAAGATTTCAACGAACAATCGACGAAAGCCGAGGATACGTTCTCTAGTAATACAATATTTTACCGTACAGTGCAATATCTGCGTTTGGTATTTCTACAAAATCATGGGTACGAACAGTTTGAAAGCAGAGACGATAAACGCTCGGAAAATGAAGAAAGTAGCGGTTTTTCTCGTTCACCTACTCAAATTTATCCAGAAAGAAGGACTTTCTGTACATTGAGCATCAAGAACGCCACTTTGGGATTCAAACAAGGTGAATTTATTGCAATAGTGGGAAAGCACGGAGCTGGTAAAACAACACTACTGAGTCTTTTGAGTGGAAGATTAAAATGTGGTTGTAAGCAGGTAAAATACAAAATTCTTCATAAAATATGGGCTTCAGGAGTAAATCCCGTTTTAGAAATAATTTGTCAAAAACACATGAAGAAAAGTTGACAGGTATTGGTCGAGTCTGTTTAAATGGTGTATAGATATCCATTGGTAGTCTGAATGATGTTAAGCTTATTAGAGGTAACACCAGCCAAATGGCGACACAGTGCTTTTCGAATTCTCCTATGCATTTTTTAGATGCATTTTTGTGGAATTTTTTTACACCTTTACTCGACATTTTTGTATGAAACACCTTTTTCTACTGGTCCCTTGGAAAGGCTGGGGGTACCTGATATTGTTTTTCCCTGAAGCCCCAGATTTTCGGTACTAACCGAGGAAGAAACATAAATAATCAGTTGCCTCGGAGCTTTTTTCCGTCCTGGCGTCCCCGCTTTCGATTGGTCATGTTTCTGACACTCACCTCTTCGAAGACCAATAATCTATTACACCTTCAATTTATATAAATTGAAGGTGTAATAGATTTTTGAATTTTGAATCTTCATAGGAGAAAAATGCATAGGAGAATTCGAAAAGCACTGTGTCGCCATTTGGCTGGTGTTACCTCTAATAAGCTTAACATCATTCAGACTACCAATGGATATCTATACACCATTTAAACAGACTCAACCAATACCTGTCAACTTTTCTTCATGTGTTTTTGACAAATTATTTCCAAATTTTGAATCAGAGTTCAAGTAAAAATTCCTTCCATAAAAACTTTACTTTTCATCCCTGATGATTGCTCTGACGACAAAGTTCGAAGAGCGCTTACGTCAAAACTGGTGCTCAGACCTTTTTTCCGTGTTGTCATCCGCCATTTTCAATTGTTATACGTATTACCGCTGTACTCTCAGTCCCAGACTCCGGTTCTCCGTTCTTGGTATTAGGAACAACCCGTCAAAATTCACTAATCACCATTCTTTCATTTTACAGAAACATCTCAGTATGCTTGGTAGCGTACAAAAGGAAGTTCAAAATAGTTATATTTTTCTCAATCAATTTAAGATGCCTTATTACGGAGAGGTTACGATCAGACGGTATTTAGGCATCGCTGCTTTGATGAGATTGCCCAGGAAAATGAAAACTGCAGTCAAGTTGGAAAGAGTAGAGCAAATAATATCCGAGGTATGTGTGATGAAAAAAAAATTGCCAAGAAAAAATAACACAGTTGAACCTCTCCACAACGGCCACCAGTGTACACTGTGGCGTTTACCTTTTGTTTTATAACATAACATTGATACATTTTAGCAAAAGAGTTTTCTTTTGTTATGGATGCACATGGGAGGTTTGCTAAGCACTCGAGATTTTTATCATTCTCGCAGATGAGACTGAATTCTTCAGCAGAGGAAACGTTTGGTGGGTCGTGTAAAAAGAACTTTACCGAGTTACAGGTTTGTTTGTACGTTAAAGCACATTTCAACCGAACGTCGTTCAAACAATCTCAAGAAATCAAAACAGCCAAACAGACTGAAGGAAAATACCACGAAAAACTAATGATAACTCAAAGTTAATTAAAAAAATAATTGACAGCTTGATGCGCGGGAAAAGGATATTTACGATTGGTTTTAATTTGCATCTGGTTGGTTGAGAGACCAGTACGCGTTTCAAACATTGACCAATTGCGAAGCAAGGTAAAGTAAAACTAATGGCTCCTCCCTCCCCTCCCCCCCTCTTTAAAAAGGTATTGTTCTTTGCGTTTAAAATGAGTATTTTTTTTTTTGCTTTGGTGCTTTTTGTCTGTTTATTTGTTTGTCGTTGATCTAGTCTCTTTCTCAATTTACTTTTCCAGAAACGCTGTTTTTGCCTTGCAAATCAGCTCATCACCAAACCTCGAGCCCTATTCTTAGATGAGCCAATCACAGGTAGAGTAAATATCGGGTATGACATATATAATAGGACGTAGGCATGTTCTAGAGCTCACTGAGGATAAATAACTCTGAAAACGCTGTCTTAAATCAGTATTATTCACTGTTGAAATCTTCGCAATTTTAGGGCTGGACTCTACCTCTTCCATAGAAATGCTGAACATTCTCAAACGACTTTGTAACAATGGACACTTGGTGATAATTACTATGCATGCTCTACCTGATAAAACAGCCCGGATGTACGATCAACTAGTTTTACTTGCTGATAAACAGGTAAGCAAGGAAAAAACACGCGACCCCAACCCCAACCCCAACCCCAACCCCCAATTGATTTATCCATACAACGTCATCATTATGGAATTTCTCGTTTATCCAGCTATGACAGTATTGTAAATTGCATGTACCCTCCCATTAAGTTTCTTTAACAGTCAGGCATTAACTGTCTTCCTAATTTTGACCCATCAGGTAATATTTAGTGGTGATCCTGCAAAACTGTCAGATTTCTACGATCGCTTGTCAGAAGATAACAATAAAACGCAGAAAGGATTAGAAGGTAGTACAAGCTTAGAAATATTTAAGACCTCCCTTTCGTTTGCTTGTGTAACTTAACTTTCAAACGGTTTTCTTTGCCTGAATCATGACATATTTCATATTTCTTTCGCTGAGGAATTTCGTTGCCATATTTATCAACTCTCTCATCTATTTTCGCCCTATGAAAGACATTATTTCAGATATTCTGCGAAATGAGAAGATAAAAGAGGCCACTTTGTTGCAAAATCAGTCTGAAAAGCGGAGAGAAGACGACATCCGCTCAACAAACGCAAATGGGAATCCGTTGTCATCCTCGTCTGAAAGGTATGTCTGGAACAAACATTGGTCATTAACTCTTCATATCCTGACATCAGTATGCATATTCTCTATAACGTTCTCCACACATTTCATAAGGTGCTGACGGGGAGAATTTGTTTCGCAATCAAGATCTTCTTTAGTCGGCAATGATTTCCATTATTCACGTGACCTTCGTGTTTAATTCAGGTGCGATATTGTCAACCTCGTTCCCAGGGCCTTTTCCCTCCCACCCCAACGAAGGGAAATTTTTTTTTTTTGTTTTATTTTTTTTGTTTTATTGTTTTATAAGGGAATAAATATATTACATTTGCATAACTTAACTAACTAAACTTAACTTAACTAACTTAACTAAACATAATCAACCACTACCCACAAAAAGCATAGCTAGTCTCGGCGGGCAGTGTGTGGACGCTAAAACATCTTACATAAATTTCAGTTCAACAAAAGATTCAATAAATATACAAGAAACAGAAATTAAATATTAAATCATTACTTTAAAAGCAGAAATGACAGTATGAGATAAAAATACAGAAATAGAAACACATGACAATAAATAGAAGAATACATAAGTTATACACTACTATTAACTGGATTTAACTTTTGACACATCATTGATTATTCGTTCTACGTCAACATAACTATCTTGAACTTGAAGATTTTGAAATAATATTGTTGTTAGCTTTTTCTTGAAAATATCTTTGGAAGATTCCTTAAGTCTCCTGGGATGCTATTCCAAATTTTACAACCAATCCTTGAGAATGAGTTTTTATGTTGATTTAGCCTAGAATAGTTTATGTAATAGTTACCGGCAGATGAAGATCGGGTATGATGATTGTGTATTTGGTGGGAAAGAGTGAACAAACCAGAAAGATTAGGGGGGGGTTAAATTGTTATGGACATCATGCATTAAGAAAGAAGAGAGTTTAACGTAAAGCATACTAATTGGCATAATATTAGCTGATATAAAATAAGGGATGGCGTGTGAATTATAGTTGGCAAAGTTCATTAATCGCACAACCCTTTTCTGGAGTATCATATTTTTTCCATATGAGACTTAGCTGCTTGGCCCCAAGCTACAAGGCCATATGATAAATAAGGATAAATGAGTGATCTATATATATTTAGTAATGTCGAATATGGTACAAGATGCCTTAGTCTACAGATTATACCAATGCCTTTACTTATTTTTGATGCAATATGACTGATATGATGTTTCCAGGTAAGGTTACTGTCAATAAGTACACCTAAATATTTCACATAGTCTTTACGCTCCAGGAAAATGAAATGTTTTCTGTTATTATCATATATTTTTGGATTTAGTTTGTAATTAAGTCACTTCTGGCTGGGATGGAAGATGATAAAATTGGTTTTCTTTACATTTAAAGAGAGTTTATTTGAGGCTAGCCAATCATAAACATTCATTAGTTCCATATTCACCACTGTTTCAAGAGATTTAAGGTTTCTGTCGGCTAATAGCAGATTTGTATCGTCAGCGAATAAATAAAATGCTAATTTATCTGAAGCTTTGTAAATGTTATTGATATAAATAAGAAAGAGCAATGGCCCTAACACGGAGCCCTGTGGGACCCCACACATGGTTTTTTCTTTTTGGGATATGTAGGATCCTATTTGTGGGGTTTGGACCCTTCCAGACAAGTACGATGGAAACCAGTCGTTTACAACTCCACGAATTCCAGTGATTGAGTTTATGTAACAGGATCGAGTGGTCAACCGTGTCGAATGCGTTTTGCAAAAAATTCCATAAGAATAAAAATTCCATAAGAGAACATGCCCTAAGGCCCTAAGAACGAAGTTTCGATGTTGTAAGGAGAAATTAGGGTTCAAACAGCATTTCATTTGACTCAATAGATTAGCTGGAAGGCTGATTATTTATTTTTATGCGTATGATACTGACAAACATGCCTGGTTTTTAGTTCAGAAAATGGTGGATTCCTTACCAGGCTTTTTGTGATAGACTACAGAGCCTCGTTATCGAGTACTTCTGGACAGACGATATACCTGTCAATCATGTTCTTCGTATTTGGAGTGACGGCGGGAATAGTTTACTGGCAAGCGGAGACGCCATTACAAATAATGACTGCTTACGGCGGCTCGTCTCTCCCCAGTCTTTTATTTATGGGCTCGATTCTTCACACTCGCATAAACAAGAACTTGGAAGTGAGTGAAAAAGAAATGATGTTTTTTGTTATTGCAGTTTTCAGCTTAATTTCAAAACTATGGCGCTTTTTGTTTGAGTATCGCGCGACGAAACCAAAGTTATCAACTGAGCGAAAATATACGTTATAAGGATCTCTCGTAGGGCGACCTTAAGCGCGAGAAAGTGACCAAGTTTTAATTGCTGCTAGTTTTAGAGGACATCATGAGTTTGAAGCGCAAAGCGCCTCGAAGCAAAACAATAATATTAATGATAATAATAATAATAATAATAATAATAATAATAATGGCTTTCTGCAATGTTGCTCTTCATCTGTTAAATACATCTACTACAAAACACAAATAGGTTACTTCTACCAAAACAAATACATATGTTGAAAAAAAAATACAAATAAAGTTAAAAATGTAAGAGGTAAAATAAGTATACCTGTTTAACAGGTATACTTAAATATGATTGTATTTAGCTCTATTTTTTAACCAATGTTATCTGTAAAATACGCAATTCAATTTTACGACTGCAAAGTATTATTCCATAAACTATCTATCTATCTATCTATCTATCTATCTATCTATCTATCTATCTATATATAAAGTAAAAACTGCATCAAGCTGAAAGGTTATCTTTGACCATTTTCATCAAATACTTAAAAGTTATCTTAGAGAACTGATTGAATTCACGAGCACATTCCCGTATGTCTTTCTATATTTAAATGAAACCGTTCTCCTTGCAGAAAGAAAAGTGTCTTTTTGAGCACAGACTGCTCTGCAAAACTAAAGGAATTTTTTGTTTAGTGAAACTAGGGTAACTTTAATCGGCACAGTGCCACTAGTTTAGGTCGAGTTTGCTCTAAAGAACAACTCTTCTTTTTGCCGTTTCTCAGATTCGACGACTGGAGTCTTCAGAAAGCATTGGCTATTCATATGAACATGTAATGCAAACATTTCTTAGTACATCCGCTGTCTGTGTGATGCCAGTGATCGCATGCTCAGTTTTGACTTACTTTATGGTGTTCACGTCATATAACTGGTGGCGATTCGTCCTGGTGACAATTATTTCGCTGGTGTTTAACCAAACGTGGATTGCAGTTTACATGTTGGTAACTTATATTACACCGAGTAACGCTTGTCACGCAAGCGGCGTCATAGCTGCATTAGGAGGATTCTCTGGCGGATTTATTGTCACGAGGAGTGAGATGCCCATAGGGTGGGTATCGACTGTATTATTCATCTAGAATCCTTTCCCAAGAAAAGGGCTTGTCAGGGTTTAGAGTTTGCTATTTAAATTGCGAGAGAGAGAGAGAGAAATTATAAGGAAAAGGGGCTTATCATACATAAAGTTTTTTATCGGGGCTTATTAGAGAGTGGTAGATTATTTAAGATATGAAGTTTTGGGCGGGGCGGGGCATTTTATGGAGGGGTGCTTATTAATAATCTGGTCGGTTCAAGACAGGGAAAGGGAACTTTCCAGGGAGGGAAGCTTATCAAAGAAGGGGGTTTCTAAGAGAGAGGGTCTCATTAGGGCAGGGCTTTTAAGAGGGGGCTCAATAGAGAGGGGGACTGGTTTTAGAAGGGACTTGTTAGAGCTATGGGCGTATTAGGAATCTGGTTTGATTCGAAGATGAGTATACTTAGTCATATTAACAGAACTTGCTCATCCGCATTCTATCATCTTTACAACATACTAG